TCTCTCTCTCTCTCTCTCTCTCTCTCTCTCTCTCTCTCTCTCTCTCTTTCTCTCCTTTAAATCTGAGCTTGGGTTTGGGTTTGGCCAAAGCAATATGGTGGAGTCATACAAAGCTAGTTCTGGGCTTTGACCACCAGAAGCTACATGAGCATTCATTTCCTTCTTAGGTCTCTGCCAGGCTTACACAAGCCAGCTGGTAGCACATGAGATACATATGGAAACAATCTCTTGGCATCCAAGATGAAACCATCCTAGATCAGGCAGCATCTCTCCAAGAAGTTTATCAACAACATAAACATGAATGAGTCAACTGAGCCAGCCCAGATCGGCAGAGACACTAAATCAACCTTCAGACTTGGGAGAAATAAGTAAATGTTTGTTATTTTAAGATGTCATCTAATTTTAGAACTCCTCTTACTGCATCAGCAGTTAGCTGATACAAGCAAAATGTGAATCCGTTTTTAAGTAGGAGTCAGCAGAGGCAAAACATGTATTCACTCCATTTTTAGTCTGTTCTCTAATTTGGACTGAGTTCCCTCTAGATTGGATGGACCATCTTCCCCTGGGATCTCCTTCCACCGTTTTAAGAATCCTCTTTATTTCTTCACCCTCACGTCTTTCTTTGCTTGGTAACATTTTCTTTGCTAGGTAGAATGCATCCTTTGGGGGTTGCCTGAGAATGAGTGAATGGGTTTGGACACTGTGCATATCTGAAATTCTCCTCTTATCCTTAATTTGTATCATAACTCAGTCAAGAGTCTAGCCTGGAAATAATTCCCTTCACATTTTCTTTAAGAGTAGTTAAATGAGTTTACTTTAACACAGGCTAAACAAAACACCTTCATGAGGTTAATTTAGTTCAAGGTAGAACTTCCAATGTTGTATTCTTGAAGGCCTACTATTTACTGTTACAGTTCTAGGGTCCCTTGGTTTGAGAAGGGTTCTACAGGAGCACAGGTTTTACTACTCAGCCAGGTTTAGTGTGGTCTGAGGGTTGCAAGTTATTTTTCTTGGAAATACCCAAGTCTCTGGGAAGGTCTTTTGAGGACACATTGTATTTAGCAAGCTTCCACTAGGGAGGAAACTTTCATCCTACCTCGTCTCTTGGCCTTCTTTCTTCAAAGGTGATGAAGGAGGAGTCTGATTCCATGCTAATTCTTTCCTGGTTTATTTGGTTGGTTTTATTTTTGAGATAGTGTTTTTCTATGTAACTGAGACTGGCCTATCAGACTTATGATCTTCCTACCTATTTGGAATCCGGAGATTATGAATACACACTATCTTATCCGGATTGAAAGTGTTATGTTCAGGCCGTAGTTTGACTCCTGGTTCTATAAATAATGCTTTTTTCTTTTTAGAAAATACAGGATAATCTCTTACCCCAGAATGTTAATCAATTTAAAGACAATAGGACTTGATATGGTTTTGTTTTTTACTAAACATGTTCTTGGTCTTTAATCAGATATTCATATTCATAAACTGTGGGGCATTTCTTGTTTTGCCTCTTAGATGATCTCCACTCTCCATTGCCATAGGTGTCTCTTTCTGTGTTTTCTTGTGATTTGCATGTTAGATTTCCTACCAGAGCTGACTTGGGGATGCCCATCTCTCTGTTTATTTCTTCAAGATTATCTTACAAACCTTCTCTTGGGCTTATTTTTAAAATCTGTCCCTTCACATTTGAGTATATGAAAGGTCCATCTTGAGACAGTGTGTACTGTCCTTGCTTCATGCTTTGCCTCTTCTCTGACTGAGGTTACTAATGGTGGGTTTTGTTTATCTGTTTTATTTCTTCTATGAATTGTTTTTGTCCTTCCAAGTGGCTTTATCATACATGCTTTAGTCCTTGTATTTTGATCCTAGGTGCTTTTGGCAAGAACTTAGTATCTATATCTCTTATTAATGTACAAAGTGAGGCATAGAGAACTGGGTGTCTGATGGGGTCTGACTTGTGATTCTTACTGAACAGTCCCTGACAGTTTCCCTGGGGTACTATCATATGAGTATCTTCAGACATTTTTCCTGGCTTATAAAATTCCCTAGAAAGGTTGAACTTCTTGAAGGAAGCAGGACTCTCTGCCAGTGTTCTGAGAGCCAAGGAGAGAGAGAAGGCCAGGGGATTTGAACATTTCCATATGTGCAGCTTCTGTGTGTGTGTATGTGTGTGAGATTTATATTGTTAACTATTGATCTTAACTATTTCACCTTCTCCAGATGATAGAATCTGCTTCTCTGTGGGGACTGTGAAAGGATCATAAACCAGGCAGGGGCAGGGGCTGGGGTTCCATCTGCCTCTTACAAAGACTCTAAGCTCCTCTGACTCCCTCATCACTTGCAGAATAGCTGATTTCAGAGCCTTTGTGGCATTCAACTGGTAAGAATTTTCAACTCTCCCAACAACTGAATCAGGATTGAACTTTTCCAAATTAACCATGATCTTCCATTTCAAAGCTGTTGCTGTTGTTTCGTTTCTTCTTCCAAGATCCTTTTGAGGATAGCTCTCTATTTCTGTATTGTATTTTTATTTAAGAGGGAGTCTTATATATCCTAGCTGGACCTACTTTCACTATGTGTCCAAGAATGACCTTGAACTTTTGATCCCACAGCTTCTACCTTCCGAACTCGGGGATTGGCATGCATAACCAAACCAATATGTGTAGTGACAGGAATGAAACCTTGCCTTTGTGTATGCCAGGCAAGCTCTCTCTCAACTAACCAGCCGTATTGGAGAGCTTGGAGTTTGATTTAAAGACCCCTAGTATGTCTTCATTGTGATTAAAAAGCTTTCCTGATGTATTAGGTCTATGTTTCCTGTTCTCTTAAGCTGAGGCACCCAAGGTAGCTCTAGGTATTATAGGAAGCCATACTTTACAGCATCAGACTCACTTTAGATGGCTCTGAACCACAGATCTCCTGTGGGAAAGTCAAATTTCCTCAACACTGGCCTCAAGTATGGAAGCTTGTGCAGATGTTTGTTTGTTTGTCTGTTGTTTTTCCTTAACGGAAATAAAAGAGGCAACTCTGGTGGTGGTATATGCCTGTAATCCCAGCACTTGGGGGGGGGGTATAGGCAGAGTGATGGGAGGTGGGGTTCTAGGGCTGGGAAAATGACTCAGTGGTTAAAAATGCAAATGTGCAGAGTGGAGAACAGATTCCCTGAACCCATGTAAAATGTTGGGTGAGCATGGTGATTTACCTGTAAACCCAGAGCAAGCTGGCTAGCAAGACCAGCCATATTGGAGAGCTTTGAGTTTGATTTAAAGACCCTGCCTCCTTATTAGAGGCATCCTTATTAGTAAGGACTAAGGAGAAAGAGCCATCAAAGATGACTTCCAATATCAACCTGAGGCTTCAACATGCATGACCACTCCTGTATGTGTTTCTATATACATGCAAACACCCATGCACATGCACACATATGCACACACACACACACACACACACACAGAGAAAGAGAGAGAGAGA